TGATCCTATGCTGCTTCTCGGTTTACTTCTACTTTCATATCCCTCACCAAGTTTTCTCACTTTCTTCCTATGTATCTTCACCAGTTTGATTATATTAGTTCTTACTTAATTTTTTATGTTGTTCTATTTCTCGTGGGATGCATTCTAATCGATCATTAATGAACTCTGGCAAAACTATTGATTATTATAAGGGAGTTATTTTTATTTCAAAATTATCCAGTTTAATAACCTTTTTAGGTGAGTAGTTAATCGATTCTCTTTAATTTTCCAGAAGGATACAACCATGATTTCAAAGCCATGACGTTTGACCCCCTTTTCTCTACTTAGATCTCTCATTAGTTTTCTTGTGTTATTGTGATAACTATGGCGTTGCCCAGTGCAGTAGTCACGGCAGCTACAGACATGGAAGTTAAGTCTAAAATTCGGTTCCTCAGTTGCACTAGCCACATTTCAAGTCCTCAGTAGCCACATGTGCCTTGTGACTACCATTTAGCTACCATTTTATAACATTTCCATCATCACAGGAAGTTCTACTGGACGGCTGCTAGAATGCTCAGATCAATATTAAATAAGAATGGTGAAACAGGTTGTCCTGTTTTTTCCTTCCTGACTATAAAACGGATATCTCTATCCGGTGATTTACTATTCAATGCTGTTGGGTTTTGAATTCACAAATATAGATATATTTTTTATTGTGTTGAAAAAGTTTTATCCTGTTTATATAGTTTTCGAAAACTATATATTTTTAAAATTTGGAATGGATGATGAATTTTAATACTTTCTTGGAATAAAAAAGTTTTGCTATGCAAGAGACAGATTCTCTCTCATTCTTCAAAATTGGCTTAACAATGCTGGTTATTTTTAGATACGTTGCTGGATTTTGTTTGTCAGTATTTTATTAGATGTTTGTCATCGATGAGCTTGATCTCAAATATTCTCTACTTCTACCGTCTTTGACCAGTTTTTTAAAAAATGAAGATTATATAATTATTTTAAAATGAATTAAGATGCTTTTTCTCTATATGTTTTGTGTTTTAGATATGCATCACCTGTCCCTTAATGTCTTGCAAAACTTGGGCAAAAAGAATCTGGCTTTGGTGCTTTGGCTGGTTTTTTTTTTTTTTTTTTGTCTCTCTTTTCCAGTTCATGCATATCATTTTCACCTGTGTCTAATCACACTGCTAAATTCATCCATTATATTGCAATTCAGTGAATAAACTTTCTCGACTCTAGAATTTACACTAGGTTCTTCTGTAGATCTGCTTTTGTTGAATGGTCTTCCCCTTGGTCTCACTGATCTCTTTACACACTTTACATGTGTTTATTTACCTGCTCTTTTAAATTGTTCTTTCTTGTTCTCCTGCTTTTTTCATTCATCGTCACGTGGCTGGGCATTTGGTGCTGTGAGCACTTTTTCAAAGTGGGTTGTTGGCTGTAGGAGTGCTATACGTTGGGTTGGATGTACATTGCCACTGCCAGGGCCACAGGGATCAGAATAGTCATGGACACATTTTAGGGTTTGTTTCCTGCCTTGGTGCTTCTGTATCATGTAGGTGGAATAATACCTTATTCTTATCTCCCTGCTTCTTTGAGTCACTGAGCAGCCAATGCTTTTTCCAATCTTAATCTGTGGTATAGCCCTTTGGAGCTGAATTTCTGCAGGGGGCTCTGCTCTAGCCTGCTGCCCTGCACAGGCTGATGTCCTACATCTGCATCAGTATAGGCAGATTCTCAGGACTAGAGAGCCTCCAAAGCTTTGCTTACTGCAAAGACTTTGCATTCCCTTTTGTGTTTCCTATATCTGAGAGTTTCCTTCTTTTGAGTAGGGTTACACATTATAAAATTTTTAAAAGATTTTATTTATTTAGAGTGGGAATGGGGGGAGAGGCGGAGGGAGAGGGAGAGAGAGCCCATACTGGCTGGGAACGATTTTGCTCAGCTCAAGGCTGTGACCTTCTTCAGAACCTGCAGAACATCACCCAAGGAGCAAAGATTCCCTTCATTGTTTGTGGGGACTTCAATGCAAAGCCAACAGAGGAGGTCTACAAACACTTTGCTTCCTCCAGCCTCAATCTGAACAGTGCGTACAAGCTGCTGAGTGCTGATGGGCAGTCAGAACCTCCGTATACTACCTGGAAGATCCAGACCTCAGGGGAATGCCGGCATACACTGGATTATATCTGGTATTCTAAACATGCTCTAAGTGTAAAGTCAGCTCTTGATTTGCTCACAGAAGAACAGATCGGACCCAACCGGTTACCATCTTTTAATTATCCTTCAGACCACCTGTCTCTACTGTGTGACTTCAGCTTTAATGAGGAACCTGATGGACTTTTATTTACAAAAAAAAAAGAGAGAGAGAGAGAGAGAGAGAGAGAGAGAGAAGAGCCCAATGTGGAGCTCAGTCCCAAGACCCTGAGACTATGACCTGAGCTGAAATCAAGAGTCAGACACTCAACTGATGGAACCACCCAGGCATCCCTGCAATTTTTAAAATCATATTTTATCTAGAATTTCTGGATCTATTATGTTGAATGCAAATCCAGAAACTGTTTTAGATTTCTAAGTTTCTACGTTGATCTGCTGATCTTAATTTTTAAGCAATGGCAAGAAAGGTATGAGAGAGGTAGGTATTAAGCTATGCTTTTTATTTTCTGGTTATGTTTATCATCAAAGAATATATTTAAATAAGTTCTACCTTTTGGCATTAATATGCTGGCATTTTTATTTGTGTCTTAATACAATAGATGTTTAAGGACATTCACAGCCATTTAAAAACATATTTATATATCTGTTCTATATAATTTTTTTATTATTCATTCAAAGACTTGGAAAGTCACGTTAGCATCTCCCACTATAAATATAATCTTTCAATTTGTTCCTTTATGTGTCGCAGTTTTGGCTTCATGCAATCTGCTATTGTATTATTTGTTGAAGACTCTGGGGCCTGCATCACGTTTGAACTGCCTGGAGCCACAACAGCCCTAGTTTTGTTACTGGGAAATCAATTAATCTTTTTCTGATCAATAATGGCATTATATTCTCTTCCTGTTATAAAATGTAATGCAGCATTTAAGAAAAAAGTCTTGAAAGAGGAAATACATACTATAAAAGTGAAAATAATATTTTAAAACTTGGGATCTAGAGATGGGAAAGGAGAATGGGAAAAGTAAAGGAATCTAAATTTATTTTATTTTACAGAGGTGACTCAATAGGGACCGCTGCAGTCATAAGGTGGAGAGAAAAATGGAGATCCGACTATGTTGCATTTTCAAATTTATTTATCTCTTCTGTCCTTCACAGTTTCTTGTTCGTATCATTTACCGAATGGAAGTGAGTAGGAGAATTAATAAATGAAGGATGAATGGTTTTTTCAAATTACAATTTTTCCCCCTCGGGATATTTTTAATAACCGTATGTTTGAGTGTAGGAGTGTTGCTTGCAGGATGTCATATGGCTGAGTCACTGCCTCCCTCTGCTCCAAATTGTCAGCACAATCAGGCTCCAGCCAGATTCCCTACCCCTGTGGCCCTTATTCGTCCTTGAACGTGAATGAGGTGGAGAGCCTGTGCAGGTGTTTACAAGTATGTATTAGGAGAGGAAGGGAGGAGGGAGAAAGAGGATGTGCTGGGTTTCCCAAGGAACAAAATTTCAAGGAGAAGCTGGAAAACAAGCCTTCGGGATGTCCCTCTACAAGTCCAGGGTACATCTGCAGTTCATGTTATGCTAGCACAGCATCTCTGTGTAACCTTTGGGGCAATGGCAACACTGCACCCCATTTCCATTCATCCTTAGAGAGGGGTTGGGTCCGGAGGCTCGCGCGTCTGGGAAGCCGACTTTGGAAGGCTTGACATCTTTGAGGCTAACCCTCAGGAGTTTCTCATCTTAGATTTGAGATTGGGGCTAAGAAGAGAGGAAGAGAGGGCAGGTGTACTCGAGCGACAGCACAATCGAAAGGGAAGAGAAGGCAAGAAGTCGGTAGAGGGCAAAACCCCAACTTTCATGCTACGACCGTTTAGGAATTTTTTTTTTTAAATGTTTTCTAATAGCATGCACTTTTGGGATATGTGAGAGCACTTCCAAGTATCAAGAAAACGAACCGAAAGTTTCAAATGTTTGGAATTAGTCCAAGGCCAGGAATTCTGGATGTTTGTAAGGAACGTTTGTGAGGATGTTGGCCTATCTCTGTTTAAATAGGCAAGTGGTCTTAAGAAGGCAAACCCCTAACTCTTCCTTTTTAAAAGCAAGACAGCACCTATGCCACGAGGCTACCAGGGAGCTGACGTGAGGGTCCCCACCGAGCGAGCAGACGTGTGGCTCCAGCCGGGCCCCGTGATCTTTCGACCCCCCAGGGTCACTGTGGCACGCACATGTGAAGCATCTAAGAGGACACAGCATTACACAAAATGTGTAATGTGTAAGAATACACCATTTGTCACTGCAGATACCGAATCGTAATTGTCTGTGTGATGGATGCCAGATGTGACTCAGAACCGTGCCCGTGCACGTGCGCCCCCAAAACCAGATGCCCCGCCTCGCCCGGGCGCGACACGAACCACACGCGCCCTTAAATGAAGCACCTGCCTGCTACGAACGCCTTGAAGAGCACCAGGTTACGGAAATTCACTTCTCGCATGAAACGCACCTCGCCTTCCCCCACGTTCCTGTATTTCATGTCAGGTACTCACCATGATGAGAGTTTCTTGGCCACTCCAGGCTCGAATCATCCAGATTGGAAAAGCTTCCAGAGTCTACACATGCAAGCCTAACAGTCTGGCTTTTGGTTTATTCAGAATTAATGAATTCAGACTGTCTATTCCGCACGGTTACGCGCGACGTGACCCAGGCCTCTGCGGGGACATGCTGGCCTCTCCAGGGAGGCCGCGGTGGGGGCCCGAGGCCCGGCGGCGAGGCCTTGGGGGACAGGGCCCTGCTGGGGCGCCCGGGGGTGGCCGAGCCACCCCGACACGGCCGAGGAGCCACAGCTGCGCGGGACTTACTGAGTGTGACGGACTCGTTGATCTTGAAGCTGCAGAGGACCCTGTCCACGTTGCGGGCGTGTCGGAAGCCGTTTCCTCTCACCACTACTTGGAACGATTCTGAAAGGAGTAAGGACAAGTCGTGTCATCATCTGACTGCGGTCCGTTAACCCCAAGTTGCCCCCGCCCTAGTGGGGGGCACTGGTTGGCCGCCTCGCCAGGCTTAAGGCCTCGGGGCCCGGACTCGGGTGGGCAGCCAACAGCCGGGGTGCCCTTGGCCACCCACTCCCACCTGCTCGCTGCGGGCCGGAGGCGGCGTGCGATGTCTTACTTGGGGTGCCCACCCTTGCCCTGGCCGTGTTTCCCCTGCCCGGAATGCCTCGGCCCCGCTTCTCTATCCACCCAAATCTTGCCCATCTCTCAAGTCCTGGCAGCTTTGAAGGCTGTGACCCTGAAGCCGGGCCCGCAGCGGGGGGCGCCCTCCCCTCGGCCCCCATCGGCTCAGCACCCCTTATGTCGGTTTACGTGCTGGACTCCCCTGCAAGGATTTCTTTAGAGCCCGAGGGGCCCAACAGTTTTTGAAAATCGCCGCCTCATGCCATCCCCAGTCTGTCCTAAACGCTGTGGCAAGTGATTGTGCACTGAAGGCGGTGTCTTTTCTTCCACGACTAGAACAATGTTCCTTTAGGTTGGGAATTATTTGATCCTGCTCCAGGTCCCCTTGTCTCTGCTGGGCACACAGCACTAGCACCCAGGATGGCGTGGGAATAGTTGTACTGAGCAACAAGTCAAGATCTTGCTTATCCGGGGGCCACTGTCCTGCACCGTCTGCCGGAACTGACGATGGCTCCTCCGGGTGGCACCGGCGTCTCTCAAGACAGGAGAGTGACTAACTGCAGGTGTCTGCCCCTGCATACCAAGTTCACGTTAGCAGAATGGGTGTCGAACTCACATAGTTAAGAGAACCCTTATGAAGTCCAAATAACCATCCTTCACAATAGTCTTACAAAAGGAAAATAAATCAGCTAAATTATTAGCTTAGAAATATTCTCTTAAATTTGATAGTAACTAATAGCCCATGCTCTACTTTCTTCTTCTTCTTCTTCTTCTTCTTCTTCTTCTTCTTCTTCTTCTTCTTCTTCTTCTTTTCTTCTTCTTCTTCTTCTTCTTCTTCTTCTTCTTCTTCTTCTTCTTCTTCTTCTTCTTTTTGGTCATGTTTTGGTGTATAAAGATTGGGGCTTTGGATTATGTTGTGCGGTATATAAAAAAGAAACCAGACTAAAAGTCAGAGGGAAAAGGCAGTATTTGTAAAACTGGATCTTGAGCTGTAAATCGCCATACAAATGGACATTTTTTGTTGGAAGAAGAATGGGATTAGAGAACTAGCATGTGGGACTCTTCCAAACTTTAATAAGTGCCATGAGTGCTAGTCACCTTCGTTCTCAGGAAACTAATTTAGAGATCGCGGATGCCGAGATACTAATATCGGATGCTAAAGGCCCCCCTCATCGTGCGTCAGCCCCGTGCTAAGCCTCGTATGTGTTCAACGTCTTTTGTGCCTCAGCACAGCCCAGGGAGGTACAAATGAGAAAACTGATCTGAGTGAGGTTAGGTAATTGGTCCCAGATCACGTTATCAGAGGGGAGCCGGAATCAAAGTGCGCCGGGCATCAAATGCCAGGCCCTTCGGACTCAGCCATTAGGTTGAAATGGAGCCCCACCGTCTTGTGACAAATGGCCACTTTAGAGACCGATGTCGTGATTTTTAAAAGCACGAATTATACATAAATATTTATGTTAGTGGTAGACAGGTTTTCTGTCTCGTGGAAAAGGGAGTCTGGCCGGGACGGGGAAGCAAGAAGTTGAAACCCACGCAAGAGAAGCCAGAGGCTCTGCAGGTGCCACCAACAGTACGAGTTAGAACAGAATCCTTTTTGGAAGTAGGAAGGACCTTGACAATAAGGAGATGGAGGTTTCGACATCCTAAGTGACCTGCTCAAGGTCATGCAATTCAGAAGCAGCAAAACTGGGAGTATCCAAGTGTTCACTGCCTTAGTTTTGAGCTAGGATAATTAAGGTCATGGGCAAATGGTTTTTCGGGACCACAAGTCCTGTGGATATCAAGGCTTAGCATATGCATGTTGACACATATACACAATTGCTAAGTTTAGAAGGACGGACTTAATTTGTTTAGAATCCTGCCAGGCATGGGGCTGACGACACAGTTGCTTCAACAAGCCTTCTACTACGTGTCAAGCACTGTGGGAGAATCTTATCGTATCTTATTTACTCTTTAAGCCTGTAGAAAGCCTATAGAAACCTACTTCTGTTCTTTATTTTGGACATGAGACATCCAGTAATCTGCCGCTGGACTCTTTTGCTGATGCAAAATGTTTTTCTGCCTCACTGCCGGGCTTCTTCTCTTGTTTCCTCAAACATTAGCGGAAGGAGACAAGACTCTGGAAATGCAGGCCACGTGCCAAGCTCTCTCCTCTAACACCATGTTCTAGCATTACCCGTTCAGCTGCTGAGTCCTCTATACAAAAAAAAAAAAGGCTGCCCACATGTCTTCTTGGCCTGACCCCAGGGTATTTAGAAAGAAAGCCAGCCGGAATCCATGACGTGGCAAGGGTGGAAACCAAACGATGTAACCCCTTCGGCCTGGGGAGATTGTGGGGGAACCGGAGCTCCGGGAAGCATGGTAGAGCCCGGGCACGCTCCCACCCTGCTGGGTGCAGCTGCTGTGTTCCTGCGCACATTTGGTTTCCAGAAGAGCCCAAGCGTCTGACCCTGCAGCCTGCCTGGAATGTCAGCCCTTCGCACATACAAGTTATATAACCAAACTCTGTCTCACGAGTCTGCCAGCAAGTGAGAACCAGGACACCCCAGCACCAGGACAGATGATTTAAGTTCATTTATCCAGAAAGCCCTGAACCTACCTTTCACAATACGTACAGCTAAGTGTTTTTATGCAATTTGCCTGTGGGGTGACGGCTCCTGCAAGAAGTGTTTAGGGGTTGTAGGGCTTTTGGGGGCAGGAATTTCGACTCGAAAATGATCTCTAATCCAATCTTTTAAGATATATATTCTTTGAGGTGTATGTTTATCATGATTCTTTCCTCACTTTATTCTCAATCATAATTTAAACTTCCCAGTGGTCGAGGCCATCATTTCTATTTCTGAAAGGTTTTTGAGCGTGCCTAACCCGGGGCTGAGTGGGTCCCAGTACTGAAATAAATAATAGACATATCTTGGTACAGAAAAGGAATAAAGAAGAAGAAGAAGGTGGTCATTGTTTCATGTAGGGTCAGGTCTAATCCTGCTTATTTTCTGAGGCTTAAAAAAGTCAATGCCTGAGAAGATGCTTCACACCATTACTCATTAGGGAAACGTAGATCAAAACCACAATGAGATATCACTCCGTGCTAACGTGAATGGCTGTAATAAGAGAGATGGGCAAAAACAAGTGCTGGTGAATAAAGTAGGAGCCTCAGACGTTGCTGCTGGGAATGCAAAATGGTGCAGGTGCTTGGTAAAACAGTTTGGCAGCTCCTCAAAAAAGTAGACATACAGTTACCGTAGGACCTACAAATTTCACTCGTAGGTGTCTACTCAAGAGAACTGACCATGTATGTCCACACAAAAACTTGTATGTGTATGTTCATAATAGCACTATTCATATAGCAAAATTCATTATAGAAACAGCCCAAGCGTCTATCAACTGAAGACCACGGCATTCATACAATGGAAAATTATTCACCCAAGAAAGGAATCAAGTTCTGACCCACCCTACGACATGGATGAACCTTGAAAACATGGTGCCAAACGAAAGAAGCCAGACATGATAGGCTGCATGATGTACGATTCCGTTGCATTTCATTTCCATATGAAAAGTTTAGCAAATCCTTAGAGAAAGAAAATCAACTGGCAGATGCCAGGGCTGCAGGGAAGGGGACATGGGGACTGACTGCTTAATGGGCGTGGGTTTCTTCAGGGAGCGATGAAAATATTCTGGAATTAGATAGTGGTTATGGTTGTACGAGTTTGTGTATATAATACAAACCACTGAATTGCACTTTCTGAAAGGGTGAATTTTATGGTACAGGAGTTAAAGCTCAATTTAAAAAAAGAAAAAAATGAAGTCTGTGAATAACTGGATAAACTTATTCTATCCTGTCCCCTCCCTTTGTTTCTTTGATTTTGTTTCTTTTCCTTTTTTATTTTTTGAAATATGGAGGGGCGCCCTGGGGGGCTCAGTGGTTGAGCGTCTGCCTTCAGCTCAGGCCGTGACCCTGGGCCCCCCCGGGATCGAGTCCTGCGTCGGGCTCCGGGTGCATGGAGCCTGCTTCTCCCTCTGCCTGTGTCTCTGCCTCTCTCTCTGTGTCTCTCACAAATAAGTAAATAAAATCTTTTAAAAAAGAAAGAGAAAAAGAAATGTGGAACAGAGTTTTGAGATGATATGAATAAAGATCACCTATTATCTGCAGGTGAGAGTATCTCATGATCTGAAAACGAGACATGTGTGTATTCTCCATGTGCTCTGGTCACCTAAAATTTCTGTGCGAAATTATTGCTACTGCTGTTTCCCCTTATGAGACAGTTTGAATTCACTTTCCTATTAGATGCTTAATGGACATTAAAACATAAGAGACTGATGAGGGTTCAGTGCCCTCTGATACCTACATTATTCTAGAACTTTTAAATTTTATAGCTATTTGATTATAACAGCATTAGTGAGATATAACTGACATACAATAACGTGCATATAAAGTTATATAGTTTGTTTTATTTTTTTTAATTTTTTTATTTATGATAGTCAGAGAGAGAGAGAGAGAGAGAGAGAGAGAGAGAGAGGCAGAGACACAGGCAGAGGGAGAAGCTGGCTCCATGCACCAAGAGCCCAACGTGGGATTCGATCCCGGGCCTCCAGGATCGCACCCTGGGCCAAAGGCAGGCGCCAAACCGCTGCGCCACCCAGGGATCCCTAAAGTTATATAGTTTGACAAATTTGGACATACGTGTACAATCATGGGACAATACCACCATCAGGATAGTGAACACATCCGTCGTACTCAGAAGTTTCCAAGTGCCCTTTGTAATCTCTGGCTCCTGACCACACAA